TAAACCTTCACTCCCAAACCCTAAACCTGCACGAGCACGAGCTGCAGCCCAAATTCTTGAAGTTCGGGCTCATTGGGAGGCTATATAGATTTATAGGGCTTAATCAGGGGGATACAGGAGTTTAGACTATAGCTCACATTCAGCCTGGCATCCTTGTATACCTAGTATATAGCCTATATGAAGGGTCCCGAGAATCCCCTCAAAAGGAGAAGGGCCCATGTTAGGGGCCCATATGACTAACCTTAGAGAAAGCCAGCTAGCAGGGCCAATATGGCTGCTTCTTCATCCACCCGGACATCTGCAGCCTTGGAGCAAGCTAAGGAGGCGGGGAGGCTAAGGGTCACAGGCTTTGATGGTTTTGGGGTTTTGGGTTTGAGGTTTTGGGTTAGGGGCTTAAGGTTGTTTAGGGTTTAGGGTTGTTTCGGTTTTAGGGTTGTTTCGGGTTCTAGGGTTTAAGGTTCAGGTTCTAGTGTTTGGTTTGAGGCTTGGGGTTTGGGTTTGGGATTTAGGGTGTAGGGCGCATCAGGGACGTCCTAACAATACACAAGCCATAGCAGACTGTTTGAGACTCATGGGAAATGTCCTGAAAAAGTTTCCAAATTGTTTGCGGTTTTATTAGTGTTCCAACCGACAGGGTTCACGGGCTTTGGGGATTTGAGGGTTTGGGGACTTAGGTTGGTTGTTATTATTTTTACGTCTGCCGTTGTAGGCTTCAGGGTTCGGTGCCTTGAAAGGAACCCACGGGACGTGGTCTCAAAGAGCAAGTGGTTTTAAAGGGTTTGGGAAGTGGGGCTTCCGGTGAGGATTTAGGATCGAGGCTTCTGGGTTTGAGGCTTGATGTTCAGGGTTTTGGATCAGGGTGTAGGATTTAGTGAGGGCATTTTGGGAACTCAGGGAATCGTACGGAGCCTTTTTAGCGAAGGCTGGGAAGCTCATCAATACTGGAGAGTGGTCAATCATAAGGACCCATACCCTGAACCCAAACGAACAAGTGTGTTTTTGCTATCTAAAGAATTTGAGGTCGGGTAGTTCCCCGCCTGGAAGCCTCAGATAGCTCTTACATGCCTCCCAGTCCCCCCATTTCCAAGAAGACGGGCTGTCATAGCCCCTGTATACTTGCAGGCCCATTAGCATTTGTGACGCTCTTGTGCTTGTGCTAATTACGGCTTAAACCCTAAACCGTTTACCACATACACAGTACAGTTTCCAAAGGGGCTGTATTCACCCTACACATCCAGAAAACCTTTCCAATCCTCGCCCTTCAAAGCCGCAGAGGCAAGAGATCTGTCTGCCGAACTTTCGGACGCCGTGGACTTGGGAGAAATATGGGGTATAGAAAAGGGCTCAGGTTTGGGGGTTAGGGATTTTAGGGGGTGTTCCCTTCGTCCTGCCTTAAGACTAAAGACAAACCTCTTCCATCTATCAGAGAGGTTCAACTTCGATCATACAAGGGTCTTTGTAGAGAGGCATTTGACCGCATATATCATAAACCCTAAGTCCTTGTGCTGTGAGAGATTTTCATGGATTTCCCTACAACCCCCTCCCCCCATACTACCCCCCTAGCTTTGGCCTTTCTTGACGTCATTTCGGGATAGCCAGGGTTTATTTGAGGCAAATAAAAGGGGAACGTAGGGAGGCAGTAGGGGGATCCATGAGGTTTAGTGGCAACGGGGAGCTGCAGGATGAGCTTGACATAAGCAAACTCGACCCCATGCCGTTCTTGGATCAAAGGGAAGGTTTAGTTTATGGTCTTGAGTTTAGGAGCTTCCAGCCCCTACATACTTCCTGATAAAGAGGCAGCCCTATCTTCCCCTGTAAATCCCTAATTATTTGGCCTAGAATCCCTGCCCTGACAAATGCCCCAAATAGTAGCATGCTTTCGAGCCAAAGATCACCCCAACGCCCGCGATGAACTTCGTGACAGAATTCAGGCGACGGTTTCTCATAGCAGGAATGTTTAGCGGCTCCTAGGGCGTTACATGAGGGGTCTTGAGCCACCTGGGAATGAAAAGGGGATATGAAGGGTCTCCAAAAACAGGTTGTTGTTAAGGAGCTTAATTTGAGTTGCCATATGATGGGTATATAAATATGAGAGCTGATGATACAACTAAGTTCCCTAGCAGCAGCTAAATGATTGAACGCCTCGCAGATATTAAGAGAACAAATTCCAGACAGGCTTGTTGCGCACCCTGTGCGATCACTGGCTTAGTACAAATCTTGGATAACCTTTGGGCCCAAACATCAGACCCAAACCGTCAGCACCAAATTCTGAACTCAAAGTCTAGATCCCGACGTCTACTGATGCTCTTAACTCCCAAGCTACAAGGAAAGCTCTAGCAAGAAAAATGCCTTCATCTTGTGCCCTTCAGACAAAATCGTAGTCTCCAAAGCCAAAGCCTTACACGACAATTTCAGGCAAATTCACAGCAAGGTTACCATACGCCCGAAGCGGGCCCCTACCCCTACCCCTTTTCCAGTTCGGGGGGATGGAAGGAGAAGTACAAACCGGCTCCAACCTCAGCACGATATCCACTCAACAGGTGCCCAAAACGGAATTGTGTTTTTGGGAACCTTCCACATGAAAGCTCACATCAGGCCAATTGAGCGGCGTTTTTTCCACTAGTCTTCAGTTACTGTGCTGCCGACATAAAACTTGAGATCAATCTTGAAAATTTGCACCGGTCTGTGGCGGCGGAAGGACGCGCGAGGTTTGTGGAAGGCAAGGGGATATCTTCGCGGAAGGTGCGTACAAAATATTCCATGAGTAAAACAAATTTCGGGTAAGCGAAAAGGTTCGCAGAAGCAAACATGCGCGGGATGCGGAAGGGTTCGTGGAAGGGTTTTTTCGTCATAAGTATTTAACAGAATATAAACCACCGCTCAATTGTCTCTCCACAATACCCAGGCTTCCAGTAGATATTGCTCTTGCTGCTGAGGCAGGTTTACTCCTCTTTTTCATCACCACAACGACCCTCATTCAGCTAGAAACCATATGAAGCCCTTGTATGACTCCACTTCAGTTTAAAGCTCCAAATCCTGAATCATGGGTTCCCCTACCAGCCCCCCTCCACTACCCTCCAACGTTTCCCTTTAATTGTCCGTCATCAGCCCTTATCATCCTCATTAAGTTTTCATTTCAGTGGAACCCTGAAGCCCCAAGTCCTTATCAACCGAAAAACACTAGCGTGGCTTCGCGTTTAGGATGAAAAACGCTTCACATGCTGTGACCTGTAAACCTTTAACCGCAAACCCAGCCTCAACCAAATCCTAGAGCCCTAAATCCTTAAACTCTCATTCCTTAGACCCCATAACTCGCGATTTAGAATTTAGGGTTGCACCCTGGAACCCTAAACCCTCAAGCCCAAGTCTCTGAGGCTGCATCTCAGACTAGCGCCCGGCTGCTTCTAACGGCCGCAGTCCTAAAGTCTTAGTTTCCCTGAAGGTTTGCGCAGAATTAGGGTATAGGGTTTAACTACAGGTACTGGCTAGAAAGGCCTTATACCTGGCCAAGACGGGGCTGGGTGTGAATCTTGTTTCGAAACTCCCTAGCATCAGGATCTATAGCGGCTGAAGAGGTGCTGCTGTAACTACGTAATAGCTGGCATCGGTTTAGGGTTCGGGGTATCCCTTGTTCGATTCCGTAAGACGGTCCTGGACAGAGAGCATAGCCCCTTGCCACCATTTTCAGGGGAAGTCCTTGTGCACGAGGTGGTGACAGGATCAAACAAGAACTTCACAAGTGCCCCGGGCCCAACCTGAAACGGTGTAGCTAGTGCCTGGTACGTTCATCTACTTAGAACTGTGCTTTTCGCCCGAGTATAAAGGGCCCGCAGCCTCCTAATAGGGTTATAAACGGGTTAGAAGTTCTGTTGTAAGCAGGTTGTATTTACTAAGCCCTTTATCCCTACGTATGTTCCCACGCGCCCCGAGTTTCCATTCAGTTGTCCATCTGCTTTCCTATTTGGTTCTCCACTACTGTCGTAAGATTACACCTACCCACGGAACTTCATCCTAAACCCCTTAAAGTGTACCTTTCGTGGGGGGACCTCTAAGTAGAGTTGAAGTTAAAGTGGAAGAAGCAGCTCAGCCCTTTTGGCAGTGTTTACAAGACCTCCCTACTCGGAGGGTCGGGGAGAATTGTTAAGGGTACCTCTAAGCCCCATAACCCTAAACCACTAAACCCTAAACCCTAAACCCCTAAACCCTAAAAGCCCCCTGACCCTCCAAGGAAGGACTCCTTGGATTTTTATGGATTGCTGCTGTGGGAATTCAATTCAGTTCCGATACTAAAGACATGTAGCAAAACGATTCATGTGGGTTCCTTGCAATAGTGCTTAACTTAGACCCAAAACCCGAACCCTGAACTTTGATAATTTCATTGCTAGCGAGGCAAGGGAACTTATTACTGCGGGAGAGATTAATTTGGTAGTGTTGCAAAATAGGTGGACCCCAATGTAGACCCCAATATACTATAATCCTTATCATGGGGACCCCCAAACAATTACCCCTCATTTTGAGAAACCAAAAAACCATAAACCCATATATCCCCCTTATAACCCCACTTGATCCCTATAACACTCTTTAAAAGTACCCCTAAGTTTGGGAAACCCCCATTTCGGTTCTGGGCTGCCATCCCTTGGAATCTACTTGACTTGCTGCGGTTCTTACCTTGTGCTAGCAGGAGGCAGGGGGATGAAATGTGAGTTATAGTATAAACTCCTTCAAAAAGGGGACTATATAGGGGAGTATATATGGGAGTACTATAGGGGTTATTAAGGGATATACTAGGAGTTTAGACTAGCAAATATGGCGAGCTCGGCCAACCTCACCCCAAATCGTGAACACAGTCCCATAGATAAGCTGGCTTCACGGAAATTACTAGCTTAGGAAGAGTGAGTGCGCCTGTAGCACCACAACTGAAGAGGGTCAGAGCTATCCCACGTAAGCGTGGCTGCGATCCTCGACCTGCAATGCGATGAGATTTCAAGGTCTCGGCCAAGATGATTAGAATTACACGGGCGCCGGGGGGAAATGAGGTTGTTTGCATCAGACTCGGAGATGAAGAGATGGATGAAGATGTCATCTCTCTGAAGCACTACTTGTGGACGCTGTACGGATGGCCAACATGGATGCAAAGGCTGCTACACCATGACGTGTGCCTGAACGATGGGACCTTGCTAGAGCCCGATACCGAGCTTCAGCTAGTGTTACTGGATGGCTCTGATGTCTGTCAAGAGGAGAAGGATGAGGCGCTCAGTGATGCGGCATCCAATGGGCATGTTGAGGGCACACGTGCTCTTTTGGCAGTTGGGGCCTCCCCTTGCCAACAATTCCACGAAGATGATGACAGTGAAGGCAGCAATGATGGGGTTAGCACAGCGGCTGGCTATAGCCATTCGCGCTACATACGGCAATCCACTGCGCTGGACGTGGCCAGCACTGCAGGCCACGCAGAGGTTGTGCAAGTGTTGCTGGAGGCTATCACTTTGCAGACGCAGAGCAAAAAAGATGAGGCGCTCTACAGAGCGTGTGCTCGAGGGGATGTGGAAGTTGTGACCCCCTTGCTGGCGGCCAACGCAAATCCCAACTATGTCTTCAATTTCGTTTATGTATCTGAGTTCGATGATACCCTCTATGACGAGCAGGCCCACTGGACGCCTCTGGCTGTGGCATGTCTGAATGGCCACCCAGCAGTTGCGCAAATGCTTGTGGAAGCTCGTGCTGACTTGTCACGTTTATCTGGGAGCAGAGAGGAATCAATTTGCTGCCCTTTCGAGCATGCGGCCAGAGAGGGGCACATGCAAGTTCTGCGTGTGCTGCTGGATTGCTTTGGGTCTGATCTATCCCAGGAGGGCAAAAATGCAGCACTCTACTTTGCATCTTCCGCAGGGTGTGTGGAAGTTGTGAGTGCCTTGCTGGAAGTCGGGGCTGCTCCCAATTGCGAACATGCCAGTGACGATGATAGCGATGATGGTGACAAGGATAGCGCTGTAGATGGTTATAGCCATTGTCGTTACTGGGTTGCTGTTAAGGAACTTAAATTAAGTTACTACATTGGGGAAACCCTATTAATTGTTTACTATATATATATACCCATTATGGTAACTTAATTTAAGTTCCTTAACAGCAACCCAGGTTATGTGGAGAGATCAACGGCATTGGACATGGCTTGCACTAAAGGCCATAAGGAGGTGGTCCAACGGTTGCTTAAGGCTCCCGCTGCGGTTACGAAACAGGAGAAAGATGATGCGCTTTACAAAGCATCTGCTCGAGGGAACGTTGAAGTTGTACATTTCTTGCTGGCGGCCAAAGCAAGTCCCAACTATGTCTTCACTTTCGACTATGAGTATGTCAATCGCCATGCTTATGACGAACAGGCTTGCTGGACGCCTCTGGCTGTAGCATGTCTCAATGGCCACCCAGCAGTTGCGCAAATGCTTGTGGAAGCTCGTGCTGACTTGCTGTCTTCAGCTGGGAGCAGAAGATCCTTGGTTTGCTCACCTCTCCAACATGCGGCTAGAGAAGGCCATGTACAGGTTGTAGATGTCCTGCTTTCTGCATTCCAAGTCTGCATGGATGACAACATCAAGACTATCCTGAGAACAATTCTTCAGGATCCCAGCATGCAAGACAAGGCAGACGTTCGAGCAATGGTGCAAACTGCTTTGGACAATGCCTGAAAGGGAGGGCAAGGTCGGCATCGGCCATTCTTTGTGAGGACTGCATAGCATCTTCCCTGATGCGCGTGATGGTTCAACAGAAACATGAATTTGTTTTGACATGGTTTGCATGCTGGGGGCGTGTCAGGTTGCCAGCGAAGTAAGCGTGCAGCTCCCGAAGGGACGTTGACCAGGGCCGGATTTGATTGAACATGTGCTGCTAGGTGGCAACAAGGAGTCTGCTGCTAGAAAGCTTCCGTCTGTAGGGTTTTGGTATGTGGGCTTTAGAGACTGGAGATGCGGGGATTCGGGAGAGAAGGCTGCCTCAGCTGTGTTTAGGGCTTAAGGAAATTTGGGCGTAGGGGGAGCTGAAAGCTTGAAGTGGCAACGTAGGGCTTATGTGAATTTAGGGTTTTTGGGGCAGTAGGTACTTCTGGGACATTAGTGTCTTCGTTTTCGAGTTTTAGCATGTGTGCATGTTGTCATATGAGCCATTGTCTAAACAGCTAGTATCCCGCTTTATAGTCCCTATATAATCCCCTATATAACCCACCTTTGAGGAGTTTAGATTCTGGCTCATATTTTGTCACTAGTTCTCCGACTGCTGATCCTGCTGACATGCTCTTCGCGCGAGCAGTGTCCTACCAGCCTTGACCACATCACAAAGTCTGCAAGCGCATAACGGCTAGCGGGACTTTTGCCAACACGAGTTTCATTTGTTGCAGGCTCTTCGCGAAACAAAACACTCAGCATGCACATTTTTGGTTGCATATCCTGAAAGCGTTGGTCCCGTGTTTTCAGGGCTCCTCATAAACGCGCTTAAACGAGAGCACCATGCACCATTTTTGCCCTGTATTTTCCAGGCTTAGGTTGTTGGGTTCAAGGTTTAGAACTCAAGGATTTGAGTTGAGGATTCTGGGGCATGTTAGCATGTGGCATCCGTTTAGGATTTGGATTCTGGGGTTTAAGGTTTACCCTCTCCCATATCAACATCAAACCCCAAAAGAGGCTTGACAGAGACTGGAGTGCTTTAAAACAAGGGCTGTCTGGTTTGACACCTGTCTAAGTCTATGGAAGCATCGAAGCAGCGGAATGTCGGAAAAAAAGGCCAAGTCAAGAGCACAACATGCCTCGTATAGTAAGACAATCCTTGCACAGACCCCTTGAACAGAAAGAACGGACCCACACCCTAAACCCTACCCACTAAACACTAAACCCTAGACCCTAAATCCTAAAACCCTTATCAGGCTGATAGTATCAGCTACGAATAAAGTTCAGAGCCCAAAAAGCCTCTAAGGCCCAGGCCCCTAAGCGAAATACCCCAACTAGCCCTGCTAAATACCAATCACAGTAGCTTTTGACCCCAGGATACTATCATGCGGCTGTCATCTCAATATATATGCACTGGAATTACTGGCCTTGGCTGGGGGGTGATGGTTGGCATTCTTGGAAAGAAAAGGTCTACAGATAGTGTTGAAGGAGCTCTTTCTCACTGGCCTTCCGGTAGAACTTTTCAAGTAGACCGGGAGCTCTCAACCCTGGACCCAAGAACAACATTACCCCTAGTCTTATTGGTTTTAGGGGTTAGGGTTAAATAGAGAATAATGGAAAATGGAAACTACTATGATGGTGGTATTCTTGCGCACCTGCTCACTTTCGGTAGCTAACTTTGGTCTGTTCCAGTAACGCTCATCTGTTCCATCCGGCGTCCCAACACAGTTCTTGCTCAATTCCTGCATGGTCCTTGCCTGAGTCATGTCCAAGCTTTTTAAATTCCCAAGGCCCGCTTGCAAGAACTCACGGCCTACATCGGAAATCCAAAGCCTCCAAGCCCAACATCCTACACCCTAACCACCCCCCAACGAAAAGGCCACACTTAGTTACATCCTAATCTGTACACTAAATCCCTAAACCCTAACCCCTAAACCTTAAACACTAAACTCTTAAACCCCTAAACCCTAAATCTTAAACCCTAAACTCCCAAACCCCTAAACCCCCAAACCCTAAACCTTAAACCCTAAACTCCTAAACTCTTAGACGTTTCAAAAGGATGCCTACATCGCGAGCGGAAGGCTGCAGGATGCCAGAAGCTTAGGGTAAAAACCGTTTCAGGGCTAAGGGTTTGGGGTTTTAGGGTATAGGGTTTAGGGTTTGGGGTTGAGGGTTTTAGGGTTTGGGGTTGAGGGTTTTAGGGTTTGGGGTTGAGGGTTTTAGGGTTTGGAGTTGAGGGTTTTAGGGTTTGGGGTTTAGGGTTTTAGGGTTCTAGGGTTTAGGGTTTTAGGGTTTCAGGGTTTGAGGGTTTCAGGGATTTAGGGTTCTAAGGTGTTGGGTTAGAACCCAAAGGCTAAATCCTCAACCCTCTATTTAAGGGGTTATACATATCTATTTGAATCTATATAGGGGGTTCGTGGTATAGTTCAGGTGCTGGGGTAGGGTTTCAGAGATTCGGGGCTTTGGCCTTGAGGGCTTATCGCATAAATGAGTCACGGTGGATTTGGGGCTCGGGGCTTATGGTAGTTCATGGTCTGAGGATTGGGCTGTAGGGTTCGGAGCTGTTTTTGGGTGCAGGACCAGGATTTTGAACCCGAAGCCCTAACTCAGGCGGTGGCGTGCCTCCACATGGAGCGCCATTTTCGAGAATGCCTACAAGTGGGGCGGCTGTTCGTTTCTGATGTTCCAAAGAATTTTCATAAAGAGAACTAACTGACTGAAGAAGAAGGAGAAGAAGAAGCTTGAGACATCCTGAAGCATCGGCAGTACTATTCCCTTGCAGTCCTTCTACCTATAGAGTAATGTACCGAAAAATTCTATTCTGGTTGTAAAGGCAACCCCCGAATCAATGGAAGTGGGGAGTTGCTAGACTAGACTTTGGAGTTTTTGATGAGGGACTACACCCCCCAACCTAGCATCGAAGCGCGAACAAGGCCCTACAAAGACTACAATACTTTAGATGGCGCCCATGTCAGCTTCCGCGTTTGCTGGGGGGAGGCTGTCTGCTAAACCTTAAAGCTCTCCTGCCGCCTTTTTGAAAGCCCTGGCCTGCTTCGCTTGGTAAACAACATGCTCTTACGTGCGGGGTTCTTAAAGTTAGGGGTACCTTTTGGGCGGGTCCCATAACAATGAAAATGACCTTTTGGGCTCTATATTGGTATCCCCCTATGGAAACTACAATTTATGCGCGGTGCATTTTTGGCTTGGTACATCGATGACACGTGCTTTAAAGATGCTCAAAGGTGCACGTAAGGTAGCGGATGAAGGGCACGGCAACTGCAGGATCCTCTTTCGGAGGGGCTCCACACACAAAAGCCCTACGACCTGGTACCCAGTGGCGCAGGGAGATAGACTTGTTTTGTACATATCCTTGTGCAAATACATATGTTTCTCCTAGATTGGAACTGCTTTCTGCCAAGTGACGTCAGACTTCGCTCAGCATTCTTAAGCTACAAACCTGCTCTCCGCCCAAAAGGAAGCTTGGTCCCTTTTCGGATTCCATGTCTGCTTTGGGGATGTAAGCTCCAAGTTCTTAACGTCAAGGCTCTGAAAGAAGCATCCAGTCTGGCGACGGAGTGCAGGGCTTGTGGTGACGTGGCCGGTGAGGCTATCAGACAGCTTGTTGTAAGTGAAGTTAGGCCCCCCAACTGTCTTCATCATCAAGAAAATACGATACAGCCGATACGGCAGGATTTATTGACAGAGCTACAACCATCCTGCGTACGCACTATACATGTTTGCGTGTGAGCGCCAATTCAATCCTAGCTGCGTCTTCTAGCTTCTATGGTCTAGTAACAGGTTACATCAGGAACATCAGCAAGGCCAGTGATGTTGCATCACGCATGCTGGCCTTCCCTTTTAGGATACCAGGGTAGATCAGCAGCAACATTCAGCATGCTGGGCTGTAGCTTTTGGTATGAACACTCAGAAGCTCAAGAGTGAACACGTCAACAGACATCTTTCAATCCTTGAATGCTTCTGCGTCACAAAATCAAAGGTCTCCTCGTGGGCTTCCATACAGCAAAGGCAACATGACGGGCCCTGCTTCTGAAGAATGCCCTTAGACGACCCCTCTTCTGATGCGTGTGTTAGATGAGCTAGTGCAAGTCTAAAGTGATCTTGAGAAGGCAGAAAAGGTGATGCAGGTTGGCAGCAGCCAAAAACTTCTCGAGCGCAGGTCTGTCACAAGCGTCCCACAGCTTGCAACCAAAGCGAGCAGTGGGAGCAAGCCATGTTACAAAAGTACTGTAGTTCTTGTTTGTGGCATAGGCTAGTGCGTACGAAATCCTTGCAAACATGGGATCCCTTTGGCTAAGCATCGCCAAGATTATTCCCATTCGGAGACTCCTTAAAGATGAAGAGCCACACAAGCAAGCGCCCGTGTCAGGCCACAGCTTTGTTCCACTGCTTCCGCGCGCTCCGCGACTCTGCACGTCGGTGAGCCCAGCTTGTGCTGCACGTAAATTTGCAGGGATTTGCAGGGGGGCCGTAGTGGTTGGGGAAATTAGTGGAAGCTCTGGGTGTTAAGGTTATGTCTCTTTCATAAAAGCGTGTCACTTCCTGAGGCTTTGCTTGGGACATTACCTTCAAGGTATAGCACGCTGGTTGGATGCAGAAGCTTCGCGGAGTGGCAACAATCATTTGGCTGGTTCTAAGGCTACGGCTGCAGTTGGGAATTTTTTGGGCTCTTAGAAGACTGTTCGCTGGGGGGGGGGGTGCAATGCTCAGACGCCAGCGCATTGCTACCATCACTGGTGTAGGGGTTAGATCGTACGCAGTGACTGCCATTGACTGCATTGATTACCAGTGTTCCTGCTGCTATCATCACCGCAAGCTCCTGCACATTGCTGTCCTCCGACGGACATTAATTAAAGGACTCGGGGAAGGGCATGTTCGGCAGTGGAAAGCAAAGGCGACAAGTTCACCACCACAAGCTACGTAATACCGCAACCATCGCAACTGCTACTCTACGGCTACTGCTGTTACAATGACGCCAATGACGCCAAGGACTACTCCTCCTCCTCTACTAC